CAAGTCAAAGCTCTGCCATCCACAGCAGCAAATCCCCCTCACCCCCTCAGCTTCCATGGAAACTTTCAGCAGACTTTGTAGCTTCCCTTTATTCTTGGCAGGGATAATCAAAACCTTGAGGTTTTCACTTTTTTTTCCTTTTAACTTCCAGCAGTTAGTGTTTATACTTGCAGATGAAGATGAGACCTTCATGTTTTCAAAACACAAAACAAGAAGTTGGAAGTTTTCTGACTACGGAGAGGTCTGGAAACAGTTTTCCAACATGAGTAGTTACTCTAGTTCTTTTAAAAGGATGTTAACTAAGTTACATGAAGATATGCCAATGGCATACTTCATATATATATATATCTCAGCATCAGTGGATCAGGGAGTATTTGGAAACAAGAAACTAAACTTTAAATATTTCAGCCACAAATCTGCAACTTCTTCATAAGTGGAAGAATCAATAAGGTGGGAGCTGTAGGAAGACTTCAGGCTGTCACATACCAGCAGCATCTCCGGGGCCTCCTCTGGCCCTGCTCTAACAGGTCCATGTCCTTCTTAAATTGGGGGCTCCAGAGTTGGACGCAGCACTGCACGGGGGCCTCCCCACAGTGGAGTAGAAGGGGAGAATTACCTATTTTTGCTCGATTTATGTTCCAAACGGAGCGACCTGGCTCCCTGAGCACTGATGCCAGGGCACAGAAAGCATTGCTTTCCCCTTCACCTCTTGTACTGTTTCTTCATTTTCTAAAGCTTGTCTTGGGGAGCTGGCAAAAGGCACACAAAGCCACCAAAAAGTGTATCTAGACATGCATTAAAAGCAAGACAGAAAACAAAAAAGTCCACCAGCCACTAGGAAAAGGGCAGAGAATTAATTGTACCGTGAAAGCTCAAGTGTTCAGAACAATGATGCTTTGGGGTTTCCCAAAAATTAACTGTGATCAGGTAGTTTAAGAAACAGGAGCACAGAAGCAAGAAGTAAGTAAAGATGGCACAAAAAGTGTGAAGGAAAGGTATTTCGGAAGAAGTCTCTTGAATACTGTTTCTCATCCACATGAATGATCTGTCTTGCCTGGTTTCTACGGACAGCCAACAGTGGATGTCAGCCTGCGGGTTTCACACGAGGCACGTATGATAAATAGGTCTTACGATAGGATTTATAAAATTTGTGAGTCATATAGTGGTATAAATAGATGAAAGGCCATTTAAGCTAAAAGGAATATACCAAGTTCAAGAATACAATAGACTGGAAATGGAAAGACCACTCCAGGGATGTGGCCGAGAACCAGTCGATGCCTCTGCATGGTGTGTTGAGAGCCAGGCTTGGCAAAGATGGGAGTTGTTTGAGGCATAGTGGGTATAAATCCAAAAGATGTGTTCCTGCTGGTAGCAACCCCCGGGAAGAGGCTTTGAATAAAGGAAGATGGAAGATGGAGAGGCTCCCTGGGGATGTGAGAGGGAGAAAGAGAAGAGGTGGCTTTAGAAAGCTGGTGAAATACCCCTTGGTAAGTTCTGAACTGTTTGTGGTTGTCTTCGAGGCTTCCTGGAGCAAAGGGGTTTTCTTTAAGGTCATGGAGAAGTCGGGGAATGGGAGGGGAAGCAGCTACTTTAAAACTGTAAAACAGCAGGCTTCATTTCAATACGCAAATGGGTACTACAATCAATTGTTAGTTCATTAGCAAGTCTAGAAGGTAACTGGCAGATGACAAACCAACACCACTGACTCTGTAAGAACAACTTGCATTAATTCAGTCCAATCTCCGTCTTTGATGGGATAATTTGGAGATAAGGGGGAAACAAGGAACTATACAATTCATCTCTTGGGGGTGACAGGGTATTTTACCTGCTGTAGAGACCAAGATACCCAAGTTTTTTCTTTACGGAGAAATTAAGGACTAGCAGGATGTGCTGTGTTAGGGGTCACCCACGTACTTTTGAGCAGCCCGTACAGGTGCTGCCTCCTGCACTGTCCAAAACTTGCTCTGGACAGAAATGCGTAAGGAAATAAAGCAGGAAAATGTGAGAACAGGAACCACTGCAAAGGAACTCAAAAACCTGCCCTTATGCCTCTGTGGAGAAAGGAGGAGAAGAGCTGGTTGGGAGGTAGGAGTGTGCTATGAAGGCAATGGAGGGAAGAAGATCAGAGTCCTAGGTGGAGAAGGAGTGGGGCAAGGAGCGATAGCTCTTAGCCTCGTGAAGACAGGTTAAGAAATTATGCTAGATATGGTTTAGTGCCAACACCCTTTGGGCTCGTGGAGACCATTTCAGCTTGGGCGCAGCGTTGCACAAACACAAAAGGTCGTGTGCTCTCCTGGAGCTGCCAGAGACACACACACAAACCTGCAGAGCCACCAGGTCGGGTCCAGCAGGGCTGGATCTCAGATGGAGCTGGAATTCCAGCAGAGGGAGGCTCATTCCATGAAGTTTCCTTTCATGCTGATCCCCAGCTCACTCTTTAGCTCCTGTATTAACTGGATATATCCCCATTGTACAGGATAACCACATCCCCAGCATCCCGAGTAACAGTACGTCAAAAATATTTTGTCTTTTTCAATTGGAAGCATGTTAAAAAAAATGTTCTTAGAAGCACAGTGAGAAAAAAAAAAGCCAGTCAAGGTATAACCATTTTTCAGATGGATGCACAACTAGCTGAAAAATTATTTTCCAAGAGTTAATGATCCACTGCTGTGCCAGGACAGCCTCTCACATTGGCCACTGGGTCTAGCTCTGGGTCTGGTCCTAAACACTCTCTTCATTAACAGCTTGAATGGTAGATTAAAAATAATTTGCATATCGTGGATGACCGAAGAGGACGGCGAGAGAAGAGACAGAGGTGCAAGCACGCCAACAGTCTCATGGCACAGTTGTTCCTGCACCTGAAGAGGCAGCCCTACCTTATTTCTTTTCCTGGGCAATCTTAAATTTAACCCATCCCATCAAACAGCCATACAACACCACAGCTGCCACAAGGAGGAAAAAAGAGGCAGTGTCGACGTTAATCTGTTTGATGTGGGGAGTAAATTACTGCTTTTCACATAGCAGGGAAAGGCTTCATTGGGATCGCCATTTCTACATTCTTAGCACTGTGGTCTTGAGACAAAAAAAAAACCCTGGTGACAGGCAACAGAACAACAGAAATGACAGGAAATAAAGGAATCACCAGGAAATGCTCAAGAACTAGACTGGTCTGGTCCATCAGGAAAAGAGGGAAACCACAGCCAAAAAAAGACTCGGAGGAAGGAGGGGGAAGTCATGTTAGAAGTCTGGCAAAAACACCCCACCCCTCTTATAAAAGCATCAGTTATTAATTGTTCTGAATAGCTACCGGGAAGAAGAGAAACAAAAGAAATCAGCTGCGTTTATAACAAAGGAGATTTTGATTAGATATTAGGCAAAATTTTCAAAATGTTCAGAGGCTGAAACAAAGGTGGCTGTGGGATCCCCTTCTGCCATCTGTGTATGAACGGACGACTCGGATATCTATGAGGAATGGTTCAGGCACACTTGATCCTACCTCAGCATAGGGGAACAGATTTCCCCTGTTCCTTCCAAAGCAGTCATTTATTCTCTCCCTCCCAGACCACGTTCATGGCAGGAGTTTACAGCTCTTGACCAGTTTAACAAGCCCTTTCCTTGGAAAATTGAATTTCTGTTTCCCAGTTCGTGGGGGAACGCTTGTCCTTCAGCAATTTCCCAAGCTCCCTGAAGTCATCTATAATCTGGGACGGTAACGTCAGGATTGATAGGCAAAAATCTATCAATGCGGGTGAGTATCTGATACTGAAGGTGGGCCTTGTGCCTGCTGTCTGAGAAGATGCAGCTAAAATCTCTTCTGCTCGTCCTTTTCCACAAGATCCTTTTCTTTTGTCTTGATTCACAGGGTCATCCGTCTTCCTTGGAGAAACGGGAATGGACTTATTTTCTTACAAATCTGGCTGAGCAACTCACTGCAAACACGGTATGTACATCTTTGTTCTTCTTGGCTAACTGAATCCTCAAACATGTACCCGCAGTCTCCAAGCCTCCCATCTGCTGCACCTCTCTGCCTTCCAAGACTTTCACCAGGCAACTGTTTTAATATAAGAAACCTTACTTTGCTAAGTATTGCATCTTTAGCTCAAAATTTGGTTTTACACCAGCATCGAGGGGGCCTTTCCAGGTGCTATATGGTACATATAGCTCAGAGAGCAAGCAGAGAGGACGTGGGACCAATGGGCCACCCGCACCTTCTGGAGCGGCAGGTGGAGGCAGCAGGGCAGCTCAAAGGGCATCATGCCCAGGAACGTGCCAGCAAACCCAGCCCACGCTAAGACACAAGACAGGCAACGAGCACGCGTTGTCTCCGCTTACTTCTATCCAGTTTTGGTGGACAAGTGTCGTGACAAGGTCTTTGTTTGCATACGTATTCGTATAGCACCTAGCACAGAATCCTCAATCTCAGCCAAGGTCTGAGAGCTCCCTAAATCCACTACTATGTATAAATCCCACAGCGAATGACAAAAATTGAGACTTGAAACCATTATGAGTTAGCCAATTTAAGCTAAAAAAATTAAGCTATGTCAAGTGGAGGCATCTTTCACATTTTTTTAAGAAAAAATAATACCAAGTAGTTTTCTAAATCAATTTTACAGATTTTAAGTGATTTAATTAAATACTTCAACTTATTCAGCATTTGATAACAGAATCACAGAACGGTTGAGGTTAGCAAAGACCTCTGGAGACCAAACCCCTCTGCTCAAGCAGGGTCACCAGCAGCAGGCTGGGCAGGTCCATGTTGGGTTTTGACTGTCTCCAAGGATGGAGATTCCACAACCTCCCTGGGCAACCTGTGCCAGTGCTCATGTTCCAGTTTGTGCCCATTATTTACTCTCCTGTCAGCGGGCACCACTGAGAAGGTCCTGGTTCTACTGCCTTTACTGCCTCCTGTCCACTGATAAGGTTCCCCCAGGTCTTCAGCAGTGTGTCAGTGTGGATGTTATGGGAGACAAGAGTCAAAATGCAAAACGCAAATGGACACGATGGAAAACAAGAAAGGCTTCTACAAGTACATCAGCAGTAAAGGAAAATGTGGGTCTGCTGCTGGGTGGGGCAGGGGACCTCATGGCAAAGGACACAGAAAAAGCTAAGATGTTCAATGCCTCCTTTCCTCGGCCCTTATGGCTAGAGCGGGTCCAGAGGAGGTCACGAAAATGGTGAGAGGGCTCACCTCTGCTGTGGAGAAAGGCTCAGAGAGTTGGGGTTGTTCAGCGTGGAGGAGAGAAGGTTCTGGGGAGACCTTCTTGACTTTTTACCAGAACCTGTAGTAACAGGACAAGAGGCAATGGTTTTAAACTGAAAGAGGGTGGGTTTAGATTGGACATAAACATTTTATGATGAGGGAGGTGCGACACTGGCACATGTTGCCCAGAGAAGTTATGGAGGCCCCATCATTGGAAGAGTTCAAGGTCAAGTTGGACGGGGCTTTGTGCAACCTGATCTAGTGCAAGATGTCCCCGCCCATGGCATGGGGGTTGGACTAGGTGATCTTTGATACTCTCTTCCAACCCAAATCATCCTGTGATGATCCTGACCAGCCTCAGGAATCCCAAGGCTCCGAGAGCAGGGGGAGAGTCTGGAGCAAGGAAGACCCACCTTCGCTGGAGGAAGGATCAGGTTAGGGAACATTTAAACGAATGGGACACACACAAGTCCATGGGACCTAATGGGTTGCACCCACAAGTGCTGAGGGAGCTGTCGAATGTCATTGTGAGGCCACTGTTGATTATCTTTGAAAGGTTATGGCGATTGGCAGAGGCTCTTGAGGCCTGGAAGAAATCAAATGTCACTCCTCCCTTCAAAAAGGGCAAGGAGAAGGAACAACAGGCTGGCCAGCTCCACCTCGATCCCTGGGAAGGTGATGGAGCAACTATTCCTGGAAACCATTTCCAGACACATGAAGGACAAGAAAGTGTTCAGGAGGTAGTCAGCATGGATCTATGAAAGGAAAGCATGCTTAACCAATGCAGATGACTGGCTCAGTTGATGAGCAGAGAGCAGTGGATGTTGTTTATCTTGATCACTGAAGGGCCATGAAGATCATTAAATGACTGGAGTATCTGACTTAAAAGAGCAGGCTGAGAGAGCTGGGACTGTCCAGTTTGAAAAGAGAAGGCTCAGGGGGATCTTACCAATGTGTTTAGGTACCTGCTGGAAGACAGTAGAGAAGACAGAACCAGGCTCTTCTCAGTGGTGCCCAGTGACAAGAGGAAACGGGCATGAATTGAAATACAAGAAGTTCCACTTAACATAGGATATCACTTTTTTATTGTCATGGTGGTCAAGCACTGACACATGTTGCCCAGAGAAGCTGCAGAGTCTCCAACCTTGGAGACAGTCAAAACCCAGCTGGACACAGTCCTGTGCAACCTGCTCCTGGTGACCTTGTGTTGAGCAGGGGTTGGACTAGGTGGTCTCCAGAGGTCCCTGCCAACCTCAGCCATGCTCTGGTGCTCCAATAAACCTTGCTAACGTCAAGATAAAGCACATCCACCACTCCCTCTCTCTGTGCACGCAGTAGGTTACCATTTGTAATGGACCAACTATCTTCGATTTCCACATTATCAACCCAGCTTTTAGCTGGACGCAGCTGTCTGGTGGACAACGTTGAGCCTGGCTTAGAGATGCAGCAGAAATGCTGTTCAGATTATAGCTCATTTTTGCTCACCTCATCGGCTGTTAACTCAACCACTCTGCAGCTTTAAGCGCAATTTGACGGCGGCAAGGTCTACGGTACGAAACATGATCGGAATACAGTGCGAGCAGGGGTTAGTCTAGCCCAATTCAGAGCGCCGATGACAGAGCCATGCTCAAGGTGTACAAGGTGACACTCAGGTGCAGGTGTCCGTCCGCGTTTGGTGGGCACACCTCATGTTTCTCAGTGCTAAGACCCTCCACGATTTTCTCCAAGACACTTCCAGAGCTTTAGGAAGTTCAGGCAGGCAGAAAATGACAACTAACACTTTGTCGGCATGCCTGGCTGCAAAATATACACATTTCTTTCAGACAACTCAAGACGAGCAGAGAATTAAAATTAATTAAAAAAAAATAAAATAGCCAAGGCACTGTGTAAGTATTCCTGCAGCATGGCTGGATATTCTCATTCCAGCTAGGTTGGACCAAGCTGAGTATATTCAAGCATGACGGACAGAAGTTCCTTGGAGCAGAGATTGACTCGGGGAGTTTCTGTTATTCCTCCTCTGGCTGGACTGGGGAGGAGGAACCGCTCCCAGCCGTTTGGCTTGGCTCCCTCCGGACAGCCCGTCTGTTCATTGATTCAGCAAATCCTTCTGCGCGAAGGCTTGCCGATTCGCTTCCAGCAAAGGTTAGCGGGGTTAGTTCAAACCACCAATTTAAGCCGTTTAAGCTCATCCTGCCAATTTTTCCCGCAGCAAATTAGAGGCTGCTGACACAAGCATGAACCGGGAGACTAGTAACACGCTCGAAAAGGAACGGTTAGGGCACGGCTGGATGGCTAAAAGGATGTTTATCCGTAGCTTAAAGCCTCGTCGGCTCCACAGGGCTCCCACCAGCGCTGCGACGTCGGCGAAGCGCTCATGTAGGTGCGGCGTAGGTGGCCAATCCCCACCAGCGCTGCTGCAATCACCTCTCCGACCAACACGCACCCACCGCGGTGCCTGGCAGAAGCTCTCGGTGCACCGGGAGTTTTGACAGCAGCAAGGTGGGCATCTTCTGCAGCGCCTCGGCTCCCACCAGGAAAGAGCCACGCCACCGGCTCAAACGAGGATTTATTTTAAAGGAAACACAGGGAAGAGTTTTGTAGGAGTTGAGGAAGGCTGCCGGCTTTAGAAACAGGGAGGAAACGTGTGACAAAAAGCCATGAACTTCGAAACGATGGACTTTTTTTTTTTTTTTATGTCAACAAGGGAGCAGGACTTCCCACGGCGCAGTTTTCCTCTCTCGACGCGGCAGAAACCCGCCTGACTTTTACCAGCCCTTCTGATGGGCAGCGCCGCCGTAATCGTTTGGTTTTGGGACATCGTTGTTATAAAAATAATTGGCCGTTCGCCATTTCGGGGCTCGGAGGAGAAACCAGACCTGCCCCCATCGGTGGGGGTGCTTTGTTAAAACTCATAGATGAGCGCAGGGGGGGCTGAGAATGGGGCGAGACGTTACCCGGGGCGGCCCGCTCCTGCCCAGCCTTCGCACCTCTCCAGCCCAGCCGTCTCGGATGAGGAGGAAGAGGAGGCAACAGCAGGACGGTGTGTGTGTCCCCCACCCCTATCCCCATCTCTGCGG